TAAATGAGATGTGTAAATATGCTTAAAGAACCTACACGTGAGGTAAAGATTATATAACAATTAAAGGTTTTTTATAGAACTGCACACTGAAACCATTAGGAAACTTGATGTTAAGAGTACATTGCAGGCAGGATTTCCAGTTTTACCGACTTTTTGTAAGTCACAAGCTTTCTTGACCTTTTGCCCAAGCATGTGCTTATTACTCATCACGACTTCACAAAGAATAGCAGAGGAACCCACATTTAATCCTCAGTTAGAAGTTTAAAGTGAACTGACTTTAGTTTATTTAAATACTGTACAAATAGGTATGTTAAGATTTCTGTAATGGAGAAATGAAATATTTTCACTCCTTAAACATAACATACAGTCGTATGAAGAAGTTTGGACACCTATTGTCAAATTATTTTTGTTGATTTTTTAAGTGAAAATAAGTAAATACACCCTCTACACACTTCTTCACATTGTAAAGCACAATTACTGTTTATTTTCTGGATGAAACATATTGGAAAAAATGAAACATGAAATGTGGTTTGTACCTAAGTTATGGCATAAAAGTTTTAGGTTTCATTTTTGTTTTCAATATGTTAAACTCAGCAAATAAATAGAAACTGTACAATAAATTTGCAGAAAAAATGTCATGTAAGTGTGTTCTTTGTAAAGAGTGTTTACTTGTTTTCACTTAGAAAATCAACAAGACATAATTTGACCAGGCCTGTTCAAACTTCTGCATATGACTGTATAAAGTACTATGCAAAAGTCAAACAGCAAAGTTAAGCAAACTTTTTAAAACCATTTATCTGGATAATGAGTGTTTTTGCTGCAGAATCACCAGGTAACATTACAATAAATTCAAACACAAGTAACAAACATTCCTTGCTTTCAGAAAAGTAGCTAATATCTTCAAAGCTAGTTAGAAGAAAAGAGGTTTGATTCCAGATTTCTCCTTGACACCCCCAGCAATAACAACATAATAAGAGACTGATTCACCAAACCCGATTATTAGGGTATTACACGATAACTACAAATAATACTGGGCTGCCATGAGGAGGTAAATTCAACATGAAAAATCACTACCTATTGTATTGACAATATTTGTATTTAATGTAATATTAGTGTTTTCTGAGCAAATAAACTCTAACTGCCGATATAAACAGCTTTTATTTTCCTATAGGCCATAAGAATTTGCACACTCCTGTTCAAAAGTTTGAAATCGCTTGTTTCATTAATAATTGTTATTCAAAAATAATTTACATTGTGCAGACTAAAATGTTCTAAACTAAAAATGATGTATTATTCACAATTTAAAGTATTCTGTGAACATTGAGAAGTGTTGACATGGCAAAAACAGTAATGTTAGTAAATATTAAATGGTAATTATCTACAACCCCATTTCCAAAAAAGTTGGGACACTGTGCAAAATGTATATAAAAATAAAATTAAATAATGTGCAAATCATTTAAACCCTATATTTCATTGACAATACTTCTAAGGCAACATATCAAATGTTGAAACTGAGAAATTTGATTTTTTTTAATTTAATTTTTGAAAAATATATGCCCATTTTGAATTTGATGCCAACAACACATTCCAAAAAAGTTGGGACAGGGGCAACAAAAGGCTGGTAAAGTTGTGTAAGACTAAAAAAAAACTGCTGGTAGTTATTCGGCAACAGGTCATTAACATCACTGGGTATAAAAGAGCATCTCAGAGAGGCTGAGTCTTTCAGAAGTAAAGATGAGGAGGGGTTCACCACTCTGTGAAAGACTGCAAGAGCAAATAGTGCAACAATTCAAGAATAAAGTTTCTCAACATAAAATAGCAAAGAACATTTGCTTTTCCTCATCTATAGTACATAATAACATTAAAAGATTCAGAGAATCTGGAGAAAGTATGCAAGGGACAAGTCCAAAAACCAGTATTTGCTGGCCGTAATCTTTGGGCCCTCAGACGGCACTGCATTAAAAATGGACATGTTTCTGTAGTGGAAATTATTGCATGGGCTCAGGAACATTTCTGAAAACCACTGTCTGTAAAAACAGATCGGTGCTGCATCCACAAATGCTAATTAAAACTCTAAAATGCAAAGAAGAAATCATATATAAACAGGATCCAGGAATGCTGCCACCTTCTCTGGGCCAGAGCTCATTTAAAATGGACCGTGAGGAAGTAGCTAAGTGTCATGTGGTCCGACAAATCAAAATTTTAATTTTTCTTTTGGAAATTATGGACACTGTGTTTTCTGGACTAAAGACCACTCAGCTTATTATCAGTGCACAGTTCAAAAGCCAGTGTTCATGATGGTTTAGGAGTGTATTAGTGCACATGGCATGGGTGACTGGCACATCTGTGAAGGCACCATTAATGCTAAACAATATATACATGTTCTGGCAACATATGCTGCCATCCACATGACGTCTTTTTCAGGGAAGACCTTGCTTATTTCAGCAAGACAATGTCAAACCACACTCTGCATGTATTACAACAGCATGGCTCTGTATTAAAAGAGTCCGGGGCTAAGCTGGCCTGCCTGCAGTCAAGACCTGTTATCAATGAAAACATTTGGCACATTATAAAATGAAAAATACAGCAAAGGAGATCCCGAACTGTTGAACAGCCGAAATCTTATATCAAACAAGAATGGAAAAACATTTCACTTTCAAAACTACAGCAATTGGTCTCCTCAGTTTCCAAACGCTTACAGAGTGTTGTTAAAAGAAGAAGTGATGAAACACAGTGGAAAACACGTCCCCGTCCCAAATTTTTGGAACGTGTTGTTGGCATCAAATTCAAAATGGGCATATATTTTTCAAAAAACAATCAAATTTTTCAGTTTCAACATTTGATATGTTGTGTTTGTAATATTTTCAATGAAATACAGGGTTTAAATGATTTGCACATCATTGAATTTTGTTTTTATTTACACTTTGCACAGCGTCCCATCTTTTTTGGAAATGGGTTGTATTTATAAAGGTGTTTCTTGACATAAAATATCTATTTGATCAGCAAGATCTGATCAGCGCTTTTTCAAAAATTAGGCACTCTGGATATTTTTTATTGTAAGTTCATTATTGATGCTATACAGCTCTCTTGATTTTTGTGAAATCATCTACATCCAAAACATCTTCATTTTAACATATTCCTATTAATTGTTTGAAACCTTAAAAATATCAGCATTATAATAGAATTATAGAATTTATACAAGCATCTGCAACAAAACTGGTTCAATAGTATTGAAAACCAAAAAGTTAATTCCAAACTTTTGAATGCTAGTTTATATATGTGTGTATCTCTGGATTTTTGCACAAGGTGTATAGATAAACAGCTGGAGCTTTTCCGTAGTCTGTCAAAACGACAACCCCTTAATGCACTGTTTTGACATTTTTACTGCATGAATCTTCGTGCTACTATGGGAGAGTTTGTGGAAACTGGCGTTTGAGACGATACAGTACTACTTTCCTGCATTTTTTCAGTGAATAAAATCTACTTGTGTTATGGTCTTCATGATTTAACTACAGGTCCCCATTTTATAATCAACAGCTTATTTCTTTACGCTCCATTTTTCTACACAGACCCTAACTATGTCTCTTTTACGAAAACAACTGAACTTGAGCTTGACCCTACTTTCATATGTTTTGAAAGTTGAAGAATACATCACTTCTAATGATTGAATTCAGCTTTAAGGTGCATCATTTGCTAACACAGATGTTCATTTGCACACAGCTTGTATAATCTCCACAGAAAAGCATTGCTAATAGAATGGGATGCTCTAAAGCAGCCTAAGGTGACCAAGCGTCAGCTAAAGGGTAATACAGCCCTCCAACACTGGGCTGTGGAGCAGTGGAACTGTGTTCCCTGGAGTGATGATGCTCCATCCAGTATCTTTTGGATGGGTTGGAGTGGAGACTAATCATCCAACATCAGTGCCTGACCTCACAAATGCTCTTGTGGTTAAATGCAATCAAATCCTCACAGCAATGTTCCAAAATCTAGTGTAAAGTCTTCTCAGAAGAGTGGAGGCTGTTCCTGCAGCAAAGCAAGGACAAACTCCTAATCAATACGCTTGATTTGAGAAGAGACCTTGGAGGAGCAGGTGTTACATTTCGAGGATGTACATTCAGTGTTTATTTGTATTATCTCTTTACTATTTGGACTCTATATTGTCCATTTCTGATGGCAAGACAAATTCCTAGAACATGCACATGCTCTTGGCCAATAAAATGATTCTGAATCATCAGAAGATCCATCAGCGAGTTCACGTCTCTGTAACCTAATGCACAAATTAGCACAGCAAAGCCTTGTACTGTTGATATCCATGCATGGACCTTTTCACTGAATGTTACTGTTCCCTTCACAGTGTCTCCTGACGCTACATGCTTTTTAGCCCTGGATATTGACAGTGCATTAAGTGGCTGAGAGTAATGGGATAGGACTTGGGTGAGCTCCAGATTGGAGCACTTTGGGAGAGGTGAAATGAGGACAATGTGAGCCATTCCTCACAGCTCTGTTTACATTTATCCCACACCTGCTTCCTCCACACAGCTCTACATATCACACCACTCCCTCTCCGGGCCCTTAGCACACTGCGGGGAGGTTTCAGCTCATTTCTGCAAACAAGGGAATCTTTTGTAGGATCATATCTGACCATATTTAAACGTAAGTTCTGGGAGTAAAGTAAAGCCAGAGCAAAATAAATCGCACATTTCATCCACTTGGCAGATGCACAAAGCTGAATTTTCATTCTAATAAAACCACAATGCGGTTAAACTAAAACAAACAAATATAACACATGAAAAAATAAAAAAATCTGCCCTTTGTTCCTCCTGATTGGATTTATTCACACTTTGATATTTCAAGGAACGAATAATAGAATTCATAACAAATAGGATAAGGAATAATAAAATAATCCATTTTAGTCATCTGAGAGATTAACTGCCTGCTGAAACTGTGGTATCTGATGCTAAGATCAGTGCCTTATACAGGAACTAAACACAAAGAGCAGATATTATTAACAGAAATATGTATTTTTGTGCATTTTAGAAATGAACTGCATTCTTTCTTTTTTGTTAAGTGAACTTGTTTCAAAGGTCAAATCGCTAGAAGCTTGAGTTACACATTCAGTTTTAAAAATGTGAAAGTATTTGCTAACCTTTAAAACATTACTAGGTTCATTTTGAAGACTCTTTTTTTTGCATACATGTTTATTCATTGTCATTGTTAGTGTCGCATTGTTATTGTACAAAGCAGTATAAGACATATATGCGTTATTTTCTAGTGAACATCGTCTCTAATGATTTCGGTAAATGGTGAGTTTTACAAAATGCCCACTGACTGTACAGATTGCTCCGCTGCCTATTTAGTAAATCAGTGTGTCAGATACATAATTGGTCTGTATAATTATCAAATTGACTGCACACTTCATGGCATTGTAAGAATACAATAATCATTACGTCAGCCGTTATTACACCAACAAGAGACTGAATGGTAAAACAAATTCATTAAAAAGAAAATCTTCAATTTCAGGACTTTATTGCCATCTAGGGACAATAATATGAACTGTCATTAATATGTTCTCTAAAAGCACTTTTTCACCAAACAGTGCAGAACCGTATGCTGTAAATCTGTAATCACACATTTTGTTGTCATTTTCACCGCTTTGCTGTTACCAAGCAAAACTGAGCCAACTGTTTTCTTGACAGGGTGCTAAGCGTCATGAACAAGGACAAATGTAGAGTTACAGATGGTTGCTCTGCAATAGTAAATGTTCACAGGTATTTGACCAGAGTAAAGCTAGTTGTGTATTTGGATTAGTATCCATACGGTGCTGTACTGCACTGCCCAGTGGAAAAGTGCTATACATCTTTTAGATCAGTGTTTATCAGTGTTTTCATGCCCTAAAACACCTAAACCAAATCATCAGCTCATTATAAAACCCTTCATGAGGTTAAACAGGGAAATGCTCTTCCAGGACTTTTGTAGGACAACGCCTTACATACACAATTGCTATTGCACAAGAAAAGTCATCTTAAAATGAAGCACAACGACCAACATTTTTAACATTAAAGTAAATAATACTGACCACTGATGATCCCTTACTTAAAAGTGGGTGTTACACACTGAAAGAAGCTGCTGTGTGTTAATGTAGCCTTGCTCTACCAGATGTTCGAACACAGCGTTTACTTATCTATCCACATGCAACAACGTAGCATTACAAAATGGGTATGAATGGACTCTCAAACTGGGCAATAGCAGCTAAAATCTGCTGAAATATGCAATTTTTTGGTTTAATGGCCCAACTTGACACTTTTCCAGGACTTCATTAATATTTCCAGGACATTTTATCAATTTTTTTATTTTTCATGACTGGAAAGCTAGTCCATACACATCCAGGTTTTCAAGGACATGTGGGAACAACAGGCCTGAGCACCACTGCTTTAATGGTTGCCATAACCATCATGATCACTCTTTCTTAAGTATTATTCACACAAGATTCATTTTCCATAAGGAGAAAACTTCTCGCTGGTTTTGGTCCCATCTGAACCTGCCATGTTTGTCATTTTTATGTGGCTTTTTAGCAGCTATGAATGAACCATAGAAATAACCCCAGATTACATTAATCCATTTTATTATGTGATAAAGCAGTTTTTGCTGTCTTTCTTAAATATGGAGGCGCTCAAAAAAGCATTTATTTATATTCTCTGCTCAGACCAAGTCAATATGTTTTGTCCTATCGAGTGTATGAGTCCAAACATGAAAGCATTAAATTGTTTTTTAAAAAAACTGATTTTAAGCAGTGATATTGATCATTTTCTGTAAATTCCCAAATTAATGTCAGTGCTAATGCTTCACTGTATTTAATTAAGACAAAAATGGTTTAATTAAATGTTCTGACAGGTTTTCTGCTCTTTTGGAGTGAAGGCACTGGGTAAATGAAGAAGCCACTTGCATCTCTGCCATATACCAAGATTTCTCATGTCATGCTGACTGCTCATAAACATTACAGACATCCTCGGGTAAAATTACAGTACCCCGCATTACCGATGAGAAAACTAACGCTGTCCATTTAGTGCACTTCAGGTATTTTTCACAGACAATAATGTCAACATTAACTGCAACTACAACAACAAAGTTTGTATATTCTGTTTGATTGCTTGTAAATATCTGGCATAATTAAAGTAAGTTCATACAACAATTTATTCAGCATACTTTAAAAAATTTCATGAGAGCGCTTTCAAATAACAAAAGCTCTAGACAAAAGCGATGAGGGCCAAAGCCTGTTGGTTTGGTTTCAAAAAGAAAGTGAGGGAGAAGACACATAGGCAAACCTGAAGAACTCACAGGCCCAGTGAGCTGCTTTGTATTGCTTTAGGCTGTCTAAAGGTGCAGAGCAGAAACACTGTCCCCCAAGGTTTGCGTTCCCACATTAGTTCCCACTGGCTGTCTCACTGCCACAGACGCCCGCTTTGCCTGTCTTTGAGCACTGCTTCACACAGGAGCCCAGTTTATCTGCCAGCCAGAACGGGCTCAGGTGGCAATCCTGAAAAAAAGCACAAAAAGTAACATGATTAAAAAAAAATCTTATAAAAAGTAACGTGACTCAAATGCATAAATTACAAGTTATAATATATTTATTACGTTTTCCATCTATATTCTCTATTTCTTTATGTAGCTGTCCCCAGGACTGTATCTGGATTGCAAACTTGCAGGATTTTCTATGAGGTAACTTCGCGAAGATGGAAATGATTAAAACGACAGTTCGTCAAAAAATCACACAAACAGTTTTTTCCCAGAAGCAGTCTGCAAGCCAAGACATGCTTGCTGTCTGAAGTTTAGTTTTTTTGTTTAGCACTGGTGCTAAAAAAGAAGACATACACCAAACATGTGTTGGCTGATCACGTTCATTTGGAGTAAGGGGAAAATTTCATAAATGTCAATTTTCACTGAACCATTGCTTTAATGTAGGCTTTCTCAACCTGTGGTCCGCAAAGCTACTGGTGTTTTGGTTTGTCCCTGGGCCTATGCTGAGGTGGAGCCAGTCGTCCATAGTGGGCAAGTCAAGGTACTTTATCACAAAAATCAGTGAAAAAAGAAATATAAAATGTTGTCAAACGGTAAACAATCCTAATATAAGTCATTCAACGATAATGCAGAGCAGCTTTATCTATTTTTCGCCTCTTGTCTCTAGAAACAAAATATACTGCTCTGAAGTTTCAATCATCCGCTGGTGAGTAAAATTTTTGCTTAATTTGCTACCATTACTCCTGATTTCAGGTATAGAACAAACTTATGTTCCCCTAATACATTAATATTTAAGGTCCATTGAGGCAACCGAAAATTGCTGTGAAAATTTCCCAAAAATTCCTCAATTTTTTTAAGGATTTTGTTTTCCTGTGGACATTCATGCTTTCTGGGGCTTTTTAGTGATAAATAGGTGAACCTTGAGGATGGAAAAGGTTGAGAACCCCTGCTTTAAGGAATTTTCTTATGATAGTTATTTCTATCAAAATCACTCTCAGTGACTATAAATCCAAGGATGCACAATGATACTGGAATTAAACCAGTACTGGCAGATAATCGCTTAAAAAGTTACTGCCATGGGATATACGTTTATATATGACCGAAACTATGAACCAGTATTTGATGCTGTATTTATTGTATTCTGAAAGAGCAGAATGTTTAGGCGATGCTGGGTTACTGTACTAAAACATTTTGCATTTCTGCATTTCATTTATTTTACTGCATTCAAATCCCTAAAAAATAAATGCCATATTTCTCTGTAATGCTAATCCAAGTAGATGTAATTTCTATTTTATAAATATTTATGTACTGACATCAGCAGACATGTACATGAAAAATATTGGGTACTGAAAAACTTGTCACCATTTCCATATTGTTGCAATGACCTGCTTCACATGAAATATTAAAACATGTAAATGACATAAAGCACTGTGTGTTACCTGTTCAGCAGAGCTGAGACCAGGATCAGGCTCGTCTGTCATCTGCACAACAAAGTCTGAGGAGAATCGTGTGTACTTGAGGATGGCAGCAATTTCAGCATCCACCTCCACTGCTACATTCATCTGCAAAAAACAGGAACAGCAGGTCAGAGCAATTAAGAGCAGCTGGCAGTAAAGCTCATGTGAATGGTTCAGGTTGTTCTTTGTGGATGGTTCGGGTTCTACTTTCTACAGGAACAGAATAGCAAAGTAGTAAAACAGAACAGAAATATTTTATGAATGAGACTGTTGCAAAGAAAATGCTATTAATCAACGTATGATTAAACACAGAACACCTTAAAGGAGTATGACGCATCAAACTCAAAACACTCGGCGCAGTCTGGCACAGTCCCTTTGTATGTGATAAGTGCTTTTGTCTGAATGGAGTGCTGGGGCAGTTTGAAGATACGGTAGGTCCCAGATGCGTATTTAATATCACCTAAAAAGATCATAAAAGGGGAAAGAATTTAATATGCACAGTATTTCAAAGGTTTTTCCAAATGTAAAAAGAAAATCACAAATTATTAAATTCACATTAAAAAGCCCCTGGAGAAATCTGATTGCCTGCTGTGCTGGAAATTTGGCACAGTTTAAAACTGATCCATTCTGAGTGCAGTTGGCAGAATGCGTAGTCAAAATTATGCTAGATTCCTGGTTTATTTTCAGTGGATGAAGGTTTCCAGCTTAGTCATTAACAGAATCTGTTTGGCTCAGTATTAATTTGCCTCTCATAAGATGTTTCGAACAGTTCAGCTCAAAATGCTACAGAAAATCAACTAAAAGTGCATCATCCATTGGAATCACCAAGTAATTAACATGCCCATTTAATTACTACCCAAGCTACCCAAAAGGAAACTGAAAGCAAAGTTACCTGCTTTCATTTGGAGCTCCGGGCTGTGGACTTGAATATGGCTAGCTGCCACCAGGCGAGGCGCACTGAAGCCCAGTTCCTTCACAATGGAGATGAGGTCTTGCCAGTAGAGGGCGCCAGCCATTCCTTCACCTGGCACACCGAAGTGTTCAGGTCGGGACAGACAAAATTAGTTTTACTCAGTGGACGTTTTGCTTGTTACCTCAAGCTCAGGGTGGGAATTTCAAATTCAACTGCAAGGTCTTACTGCTGTGTCCCTTCCTTTATGACCTTCAGTGTATACCAGTTAACCCATTTGTAGAGCCATTTGTAGGTTTATTAAGGTCTTGTTCTTTATTCAGTCAAGCCCACATTAGATACTTCTAAATGGTTCACTATGCATTATGCCTTTTTATTCTGACCTGTATTGGTACATAATTGGTCTGTTTTGTGAAAACCACTAATATTTGGATTATTAGAATTATAGAATTAACACCTAAAGACTTTGTTATGCAAATTACTGAGCATGAAGTATGATCTAAATTCACATCTAATCGGCGTATAATTGGCAGCATTTGATTATAGGTTCTAGGTAGTGTCAAGTTTTCCGCTTACTCGCAGTTTATTACTTAAGAGCTCATACGAGTTTAACAAGTCATTAATACTTAAGATGTGTTTCATATTCTTAAGTACAGTTTTCTCCACTGAACTCTTGTAGGCAACACAAACTGACATATTTATGAAATATTCAATCATTTTGGCAACCAAAATAGCATGAGTAGGTGGTGAATTTGTGATGCAAATTGGCTTACTGAAAACTTCTTTAGAGGTTTTTAGCATATAATCACTAAAACTGCACTTTAGAACTGCACTCATTAAACTCTTTTTAGCTCAAAAGCAACAAACTCCACAAGTCACTTAACTCTAGAACCTGTAGGAATCAAAGAAATCCCAGCAATCTGTTCTGTGAAATCCTTTCTCTAGAATGTCTTCATAATAAAACTAACTTGTTTAATTCTAACAGCATCCAAAAGCTAGATATTTTTAAATATGCAAATGTACTTTTTACATACTTAACTAGATGATGTCTCATTTGCATTCTAAATGTATTTTTACCCCAAAGAACTGGATCCTCTTTGAAAGAGTCTGGAACCACCTTGCTTGCATACATGTCACTGAAGTAAAGTTCACCACCTTCCTATGAGTTTAAAACAAAACACAATGAATTCATATGTGGGCTTGTATTCTCTATAGACTGCAGTAGGAAAGAAAAAATGAATCGTACTGAAGAGGGATCTTCTCACCTTCAGCACCTTGTAAGCTTCACTTAGAACAGCTCTCTTGTCTGGACACAAGCATATCACACAATTTGATCTGCACAAAGGAGGTTTTTTTTGTTTGTTTTTTTTTAGTGCTTTAGGGCAAGCCTATCTGATGAAGTCTTATGTAGAGAACAGCCTTGACAAATTCAGTTGTAAAGCACAGAGCATATCTGGTTAATGTTAAAGGATTACAGATTACCATGAACTACATCACACACAAGGAACTTCAACTATTTACAGTTATATACATAATTATACACCTATTAAACAATACCTTTTGTATTTTCAGGCTTCCTTTTTACCACATATTGATCAAAGAATATATGAGACTTTGATTCAACTAAAGCTCAGCTATGCTGTTAATGCTCTATGAGCACAAAGTCTAAACTGAAAAAAGTGATTGTGCCAGGCACCGACCTCCCGGGCAACGATCGCAGCCGCGAGTCCTGTGCACTGACGAGGGCCATGAGGACAATGACCAGGCCCCTACTGCTAGAAGTGAACTGCTTGGGTATGGAAATCTGACAGCATCTGAGAGAAGCTGTCCATTCACTTCCATTCATTTTTTGCTAATTTCAGTCCAATAGTAAAGGCACATCTGAGCCTTTTTAGATTACTGTATGGCTCTATCTTCTTCTAGAGTGATCAGACTGTCTGTCATTTGATCCACAAGCTTGACCATCACTTTAAAGCTTCAAAACAAATGTTTCAAAACAAACAAAAAAATCTGTGACAGTACAGAAAATGATGTAATAAAGCTTGACTTGGAAAACTTCTTTACTTATTTATTTATAAGGCTGTTTTCAGTATGTTAAACATATGTTATGTCTAATTCTACTGTATATTTTACAGAATGGAGGAAGTCATAGCTAAAATTCACTGTGTGGTAAAAGTGCAGTGTGTCGCGTTGAATGGTTATGATGCTTTATGTTCCCTTCAATATGTTCACAAAAAAATTGTTCGGCAGAAAAACAGTACCTTAATTAAGGTACCTGCGTAGTCTCGACTGACCACATCTGGTCGCCACCGAAAACAGCTGGATGACTGGGTCCAGTTAACATGTACTGTCAATGACAACAACAGCTGCAAGATCTGCCCCGAGAGCCCCACCCCCTGCTCCACAGCAGGGCAACTGTAACAGTAGGGGCAGTGATCGGGAGGCAGAACAGCAAGCTTTTTCTTTCCCTCTCAGCTCAGGTGCTCCCCTGCCCTTAATGAGGGCCAGCTGACCCTGGCTTGGCTTTGGCAGCATGGGCACTTTTCAAAGGAGCAAAGAGGGAAAAGAAAGAGAGAGATGGACAAGCAGAAGAAGACAACGAAAGCTGGTATTTGTGAAAGGACTGAAAAGTATGTCAGAGGCCAGTGAAAAGTGTCTGGTGAAAAAAATTGAAAAATTTTGTTTTGGATGAATGAATAAACTAAAATTCTTGCTGCCACCATTACACCTGCCTCCAGCATCCTTCTTCTTCCCATGGTAGCACATGGTATGCTACAGTGATGCACTAGCTTTACTTATTCACATGCACAAATTCTACTTTAATAAAATATATCACATCAACACACTTGTTTGAATCATGTAAATGTAGTGCATCACCCTTTAAAGTCTGCATATAAAGTAGGATACGCACACAATCACATCCACTGAGCTGTTCTGGATTCCTGCTTCACTGAGCTTCTCCATGTATCCTTCAACAAAGACAGTGTTTGGCCTGGCATAACCAAACTTCTCCTGGTGGTACTGGATATATTTCCTTGATGCTTGTACCTGTTGAAAGAGTGAGAGTCTTGATAAAGCTATGAACAGTGTTTTTGCTACTGATTCCATCTAATCTGCTATGTAGAATTATTTTTCACCTGTTTATTGTTATTTACACTATTTACTATTACTAAAGTTGTATGCCAAAGTATGGCCAAATGACATTTTTTATTCATTTTTAAAGTGAAAAGAAGAAAACATAGCCTCTGTACAAACTATTTAATAGTAAATTATAATATACTTATAACAGTTACTTTACATTTGACTTAACAATAATAATAATAATAATAATAATAATAATAATAATAATTATCTCTGTAGCTGTAAAGTCTCAGAACATAATGAATTCATTAGGCCTTAATTGACCCATTAAGACTGGTGAGGCAGGTCAAGAATTGTCATTAGAAATTGTCTGATGACACTCTCTGACTCTTCATGCCTTGTGCTAACACTCAGCAGCCATTGGCTCCTGAGGATCTGAAAATAGAGCAGGGAAAGGCTATAAAAATATTTCTAAGCACTTCCAGTTTGCAGTTTATACTGCCCAAAGTGTGATTAAGAATTGGTAGTCAAATGGAACAGTGAAATTCAAGAAAACTCTCAGATAAACCATATTGTATGCTGGACAAAAAGGCAAAGCAAAACCCCCACAGGACAGCAAAGGGTCTGCTGGAAGGTTTATTTGATACGGGAGACGTGGTGCACCATTCTACTGTGTAGTACTACTTACATGGACATGGTCTGCATGGAAGAGTCATCAGAAGGAAACCTTACCTGCTACCTCAGCACAAAGTCACTGTCTGAAGTATGTAAAACAACATCTATATAAGCAAGAGGCATTTTGAAAACCAGTGCTGTAGACTGATGATGTAAAAATGTTTTTTTTGGCACAATTATTGATAGTCAAATACAAAGAAATTGTGCATTAACCTTTGCAGATCTTCTTAATTGTAAATAGTTTGCTGCAGTGGTTGTGTTCACTTCTTTTCACTTCAAAAATCAAGAAAATGTGTAATGTTGCCAGGGGTGCCCAAACTTTTGCATACAGCTGTATATTTACACTGATCACTATTTCTAATTGATTATCAAGAACGATTTCACATATAAATGACTTGTTTATGCAAAATATTTCAACAACTAGATAAGCGGTTTAGATGATGTATGTATGTATGTATGTATTTCAACAACTAGAATCAATTCTAGATTCAAAATGCATTAAAGATGTTTTTGCTCAAACAAATTAGACCGATTTGAATAGTTTAATGTGTTAGCGAACGCTAAAAACTTCTCAGAACCAATAGAAAAAAAAGCAGTTATTCACATCATGATTTGACTTGGTTTAGCTGGATGCGCAGGACTGATCATTTCCCAATAATTCTCAGCCTGAGTCAGTTTTGTTCCGACAGCAAAAATCACGTATTTCAAAACAGAGATGGTCTTATCTACTTATTATAAAGAAAGGGTGGGCAATGTAATTAATAAAGTACCAGCTCCTCTGTCATGTCAACACCAGTGACATGACCATCTTCTCCAACCAATTTGCTGAGAATGTAGCAGTCCCTGCCTGATCCACTTCCCAAATCCAGAACTGAACACCCCTTCAACTTCTCTGGAATCACCACGCCACAACCAAAGAACCTAAAAGAGAGACAAAGAGTGAGGATTCTGGTTTCTGCTCAAACCACTCAAACAGATGTCCACAGGTTTTGTCACCTATCTGTACAGATATCACTATTACCTCTTGCAAACATCTGGATGGACTTGTTGAAGGGCTTCACGGGCACTCTCTCGCAAGACCAGGCGAGAGGGTACAGGGCAAGCAGCACTGGTCTGCAAATCTTCTCCAGTATCCAGAGAACTGTAATATTTCTACACAAATGGAAAATAGCTATGACCCAGCTCCATGGTGTGCTGAGCAATGATGACCATGAACATTGCCCAGAAAAACAGACACAATTCCAAAACAGACCAAGCAAGAAGCTATGATTATTTTGTACTACAGTTTAAATAGATTTTGAAGGGCTCACACCATGTAAACCTTTGCTTGCTTTTTTGAAATATAAGAGTTTGATGTGCTATGTAAACAGTATTTATATATATATATATATATATATGTGTGTGTGTGTGTGTGTGTGTATACACACTGATCAGGCATAACATTATGACCACCTCCTTGTTTTTACGCTCATTGTCCATTTTATCAGCTCCACTTACAATATAGGTGCACTTTGTAGTTCTACAATTACAGACTGTAGTCCATCTGTTTCTCTGCATACTTTATTAGCCCCCTTTTACCCTGTTCTTCAGTGGTCAGGACCCCCATGGACCCTCACAGAGCAGGTACTATTTGGGTGGTGGATCATTCTCAGCACTGCAGTAACACTGACGTGGTTGTGGTGTGTTAGTGTGTGTTGTGCTGGTCTGAGTGGATCAGACACAGCAGTGCTGCTGGAGTTTTTAAACACCTCAGTGTCACTGCTGGACTGAGAATAGTCCACCAACCAAAAATATCCAGCCAACAGCTTCCTGTTGGTAGCGTCCTGTGACCACTGATGAAGGACTAGAGGAACACAAACTGTGCAGCAGCAGATGAGCTATCGTCTCTGACTTTACATCTACAAGGTGGACTGACAAGGTAGGAGTGTCTAATAGAGTGGACAGTGAGTGGACACAGTGTTTAAAAACTCCAGCAGCACAACAGACACTAACACACCACCACCACATCAGTGTTACTGCAGTGCTGAGAATGATCCACCACCCAAATAGTACCTGCTCTGTGAGGGTCCATGGGGGTCCTGACCACTGAAGAACAGGGTAAAAGGGGCTGTAATTATGCACCTATATAGTAAGTGGAGCTGATAAAAGCGTAAAAACGAGGAGGTGGTTATAATGTTATGCCTGATTGGTGTATATACATACATATATATATATATATATATATATATATATATATATATATATATAATATTGAAGTTATAAGCAATGTTTCAGACTGCTTTTTGGGGTTAGAAAATTGGAAAAAATTATTCACAATTACTTTTGGTACATAAATCCACACAAAGGGAAGAAACAAAATGGAAGACAAATGTAGGATATGCTCCCTGTTGTCTGTTTACATATATGTTTATTAAATTATTAAATGACATGTAATTCACTAAGATTGAGCTAATTCATGCTCCTGTAGTAATGAGATTTTTAAAGACTTTTCCTCAGTAACTACTTTTTATATTACCAGCGGTTTTTCCTCAGTCTAGCATTGGGCCACTTTACTCACCTCAGAGGACAGCACAGCTACATTAACTAGCACAAACTGCCACAACTCACCTTTACATTCTCGTGCGTACCAGTGGCCATGGTCAGAAGAGGATTTCTGAGGGAAGAAATGACCACTGTAATGTTTACGTCGTTCAGTTTTCGTTGAGTATTAATCAGCACTGTAACTTCACTGATGAACTTTCTCCCTCCACTGACAGCTCAGCCAAACACTGTAAATAGGCCACACACAGGCAGCGTAGACAGGTTTCTACAGCACCTTGGTGTTTTGGTCTGTGGTTAAAGACTAAAAACAGACACAAATGCGTTTTCAATACTCACAGAAATGGTTTCGACTGACGTGTCGTCCAACTTTGCCGTGTAAGAAACTACCTCCCCTTCCACAGTTTTTTTTTCCCACCTGTATTCAGACAATAAGGCTAACCCTGCCACAGGAGGCGGGGTCTGCCGGAAAAGGGGTGGGAAAAAGAGTCCAGTCACAGCAGCATTAACAAATACTGGTGTAGCAATCGCCGTCTACCACAAGGTGGCAGTAAAAGCATTCGCATCCACTCTGCACGTCTCTCTGGTTTATATCCTTTGTGTGTCTGTAAACTCTGCATTTAAAGCCCTTATATATGTGTGTTCATTCCTCAGTCTCTCTCTTTTGTTTGCCATACTGAGTTCAATAATTTTGCATGTATCTATCTATCCATCCATCCTTCCCACTATCTATTTATGTGTCTGTATGTCTGTCTGTCTATCTATCTATCCATCCACCCGCCCGCTTGCCCATCCATCCTTCCATCTATCTGTGTATGTCTGTCTGCCTGTCTGTCTATCTATCTATCTGTCTGTCGTCTGTCTATCTATCTATCTATCTATCTATCTATCTATCTATCTATCTATCTATCTATCTGTCTGTCTGTCTTCCTGCTTGCCTTCCTATCTGTTTGTTTGTCTAAGTATCTATCTATCTGTCTGTCTATCTGTTTGTCTGTCTGTCTGTTTAATTCACATGATCATTAATTTTAGTAAGTGGGTGTGTTATCCTGGCCAAATAATGCAAACAATACACGTATTATTAGAAAGATAAACTGTACAATATGATGCAAAGAATGGCATGAAAAACAGTTTTTGTTTATTCTTCCCATAGCAGAACTATTGAGGCCACATGCCTTTTCAGTGAGATTCAACACTCACACAGGCTTAATGTATGCATTTAATTCAAACTTCATGAAATTTTAATAAAGCCAGACTAAAGTCCAAACATTTACTATCATCAAATTAAACCTCCAACAACACTGAGGCAGTCTAGCTAATGGGGTGACTGTTTTCTCTGCTTAATTCCACACAGGGAATTTCCAAACCTTAGTGGCGTATGACAGTTAAGCTGATACATGTGAATCATCGTCCGTGCACTCCTGGAACAAGAATGAAGCCAAACAGCACAATGGGGTTAGTAAGAGGATGTCTTGGCATAGTTAGGGGACAGTACTATGAGGAAATGCCTGATCGGCTATGATGAATACAGACGTTTGTGAGCGTGTATGTGTGTTTGGTGTGTTTGCGTATGCCTGGAACACTCTTCCCACAATGCTCTTCTCGACATTAGGCCAGCTCAGTCAGCTGTGACCCCCCTTATGCCCTCAGTGTCCCTGGGTCACTCTCAAAACAATAGGCCGTACTCAGCTTTTAGGGTGGGCCAAGCATGTCTCGTTTCACCTCCCTGTAAGTAAATAGCTGTGGGAGTTTAAAAAGGCCTTTTAAACCTGCTTGACCTGATAGTTATTTGATACAACTGTTCTGGTTAATTTATCTGATACATGTTCTATTTCTCTGTATTTAAATAACTGCGGTTGAAAAGGAAAGAAATGCGTTAGGATAAAACTGCCTAAAGCAATACATTTCATCCAAACATAATATCGTCACACTGTGTGAATATCCACTTGAATGTAATATTGACTGAGATAATAAAGTACCTCTGGTCTTAAAGTACTAGATAAAGTGCAATACTTTGCAAAGCCATGAAGAACAGGAAATTCATTTTTTCAGAAGACGTTTGTGTAGAGATCAAATATACGATAATCCACTTGCATTAGGAAGGAGAAAGTCAAAGGAAATAAGCGACAAAAGAGAAAACTCCAAAACTGATAGAAATATACAAGCAAATACAGAAATATACAGACTCCTGACAACCATGCCAGACCTAGTAGACCACCATAACTGCCCCTATCAGATACGCAGCACTTAAAGCTTTCATCTTTGAGAGAGAGGAGAAAATCAAGCTCCACTCTTACTTCAGATTGGAAAAATCCACAGGTCTTTCTGTCCATCCTTTCACTGTGAGAAGACAACTCAACACTGTAAGTCTGAAAGGATGTGTAGCTGTTAGGAAGCCATTAGTGAGAAGCAAATCAAACAAAGAAGCTGCTGGTGTTTTCAGAACAAGGCACTGTCCACCCCAGAGTCCAGACCTCAGCATCACTGAATATGTGTGGGATTATTTGGATCATGAGAAGAAGAAAATGCAACCAGCTTCTAAGACTGAACTTTGGAGGTGTAGAAAAATACCGCTGCAGTTTTCTTGGAAAAATTAAAGCAAACAAAAAGAATGAAGTAAAGGCATAATGTGGACACACTAATTACTAAATACTGAACAGTTGATATTCTATTGAGTTGTTGAGGCTTTTGTGTAATTTTCTGTTAAATATATGTTTTTTGTTTTTTCCTCACACTGAAAAATGCAATGTTTCCATAGATATTTCATTTAACTGCGAGATCGTATTTGACTCACATCCAGAGTTATGAGGCTATGAAGAGCGGTTGAAAAACACATGTGCACATTTTGTGTGAAACTGACCAATGGATACTCAGGTGATCACTAAAGACTTAACCATCATGCCAGAAACCCTTCAATCTTCATTCAGTCAACATCTGCACTGTTAGAAATAAAGGTACGATGCAGGTACTTTTCTTGTTCTTCGAGGTACAAACAGTGTAAATGTACTCTCAAAGTTACAACAGTGGTTTTAAGGTCCAATTGCGTACCTTCAATACATTTTTCCCAGTTGAAAAGTACAGATTTGTACCTTTTCATAACCTAATGTTTTGAAACAGAACAATAAAATTAAAAGCCCGGAGACGAGACGGGGTGTGTGGAGTCAGTACAACCTAGAAAATATAATTCCAATGGATTATGGAACAATCATGTTGCCTGACTAAAGGTACTGAGATGTACCCTTGAGGGTACCGCCCCAGTGACTTAAGGGGTACTACCCCAGTGACAGTTTCATACCTTTATTTCTGAAAGTGTGAGATGCATGTAAAATGATTTGCAAAGAGTTTGCAGCTGCTGAAAATGCTGCAGAATTTTGGAAAGTAGCGACAAAGATAATGGAGTGTTTGGTAGGAAACATATGGATATCATATTACATATACAAGAGCCTTTAAATGCAAATTTAAGGAAATATGCAAAAATCGAGAAAATGCCCTCAGACCCCAGAGGGTTCAAGTATAATTTTTGTAAAGAAGATGTATGAAGAACCTTTATAACCGTGTATAACCTTTCTAGAACCACCCACTCAGGCCAAGAACCTTTTAGGAAACTTTATCAAATAAAAAAAAAAAACTAAACCCCTATGGGTTTAGGCCCATACTTTTGTATTTCACCCTCATATTTACATATCTTACATGTTTTACAGTAGATATCAAAGAATTTATTGAAGACTAAAATGTCTTTTATTATTGTTTATTACTCACATTTAATCTTTATTGTCATATTTTATAATAATAGAAGGTTTAGGGTTCAGAATTAATTGTAACTGAATAAAAGCAGAATACAACAATATGACATATCTAGCATTATATCATTTTCCGAACACACCACTTTTACAGACAGTATAATTGACACAGTCAAAAAAAGAGCCCTGCTATTGGAATCAGTAGTTCTTTGTACTTTATCCATAGTCCACTGCAGGCCACGACTTCAAAGCTAGCATTTTCTGTATTTTTTTTCCTCTGTCTGTGTTCCCTGACAAGCGAACAGTTGTCAAGCACCGGAGCTTGACCTCGGTCTTGGTCTCGGACTTATTTGTTTAATTTCTGTTCCTTTTTTTTCTGTAGTCAAGGCGAGCATGGGGTTATTGTCAGTTCAAGCCTAACAAACACGTACTGTACGCTGGGGAGAGTTCACTGCCAGACCAAAGGTTATGAGAAGTTTAAGGAAAGGGTAATCATTGGAAGATCAAATAAAGTGGAAGCTGAAGGGGGTGGGGGGGTGGGGGTGGGGGTGTACGTGTGACACAGACAGCCTTTTCCTCCGCAAACAAAACCACACTGTTCAGCGCACACACGCACACATGTGCACCATACCACACTCATTTAACCCCCGCACCCCTTTGAACTCTGTAAGACCGCCTAGTTAAAAGCGAGCACACTCAAGGTTAGTTATTTCCCTTTGAGTCTGAGAACAATGCAGGTTGGAACAGCTCCGGCCCCTGCTGGGCTGACTCACTGTAGATGCAGATGCACTGTGTGATGCACGTCAAAGAGATGAAACGATATAACTGGAAAAAAACATCCCTCTAGATTATTTCTTTCTAGCTTAATGTACCCCATCCACCGGTTCTTTCCTTTTCGACTTCCCTCATCTTCACCCTTCACTCCAAAAAATAAGAGTGCTAAAAGGAAGATATGAGGGTTCTTCAGAGTGATGACATAGAAGAACTACTTTCAGTTCCCTAATGAAGCTTTCTTTAAAGAACCACTTTTGTAAATATGATGGTTCTAAATCAATTAAAGGAGTTTTCCCATATATCTAAGTGATGAACCGTTTAGGAACCTTTATTATACCTTCACAGAACCTTAACATTAGACTCTAAATGAAATAAAAGTGCATAAACAGGTGCACTGCCAGTAAGAGAACCACTATTTGCTCCCTAAAAAAAACTTTCAATGAGAAATATTTTTGGAGATTAGTGAGTGTGAAGAACCTTTTCAAAGTTTAAAGAACCTCCACATAATATAAAGGTTCTAGGAAGAACACTTTAATTAGTATGGAACCTGTATAGTACGCACAGGCTCTTTAAGCCTTCAAAAGATTCGCCACAGTTACAGTTCTCTTTTTCAAACATGGTTCCTCAGAGAATCAAAAGTGGTTCTTCTATGGCGTCACTTACAATACTTCTTGGTTCACATGTACTGTTAAAAATAATGGCGCCAGAAAAGGTTCTTTGCGCAACGCCATAAACAATTTCCCTAAAATACTATTCAATGGATGGTTCTTTAGAAAAAGATTTTGAGTGTGTAGAACCTTTTTAAAGTTTTAAGGACCTCCACATAATGTAGGTTTTCCCAAAGGTTTCAGGAGGTTATGGGTTTAAAAAGTATAGAACATTTATATGATGTAAAGGTTATTTAAGCATTTAAAAAATTCTTGAAACTCGCAAATCTCTTTTACAAACATGGTTGTTTAGAGATCCAGAAGTTATTCTTCGATGGCATCACTCAAACAACACTTAATGGTACCTGTTTTTAAATGCGCTCTTAAAAATAATACTGGCAGAAAGTGTCCTTTTCACAATGCCACAAAAGAAATGGAAGCTTTAGTGAAAGTTCTGCCAGGAAGACTCTAACGCCACGTCATCCATTCATTCATTACGCCTGACCAATCACAGGCCTACACCTGTCTTTAAAATGACTCGACTTACGTACCTGTTCTGCTTTCAGGCGTCTATGTTTTGACTGTCCCTTCCTTCCTCCCCACCACCACCAGCTGGGTCCCTGTCTGGTTGTCTAGGGGGTAGGCTCCGCCCCTGCCGTCTCTATCTGGCAGGATCAGCGAGGGTCTCGACGCTCCAAGACCTAGACCGAGGACGGGGCCTACGCCAAAGACCCTAATTTCTACTAAATTGTTATCTTTCAACTTTGTAAAAGTCTTTCTGGCAGAATTACTTTTCCCTGAAAACCTTTCAATTGACGTTTCTTAAGAGAACCATTTTTGTGTGACTGTGAACAATCGTTTTAAAGTTCTAGGAAGAACCTTTTTATTGTGTGATTTTTTTGAAGCCTTTAAAAGGTTCTTCACACTTACAAATCGTTTTTTCAACCATGGTTCTTTAGGGAACTAAAAGTTGCTCTGGCACTGCCAGAAGGACTGTTTGTGTCCTGTTTTGTTAAGAGTGTTTTTGGACACCTCATATACAAAAATGGTTCTTCACAGAACTTTCCGTTGGTAGCAAGTGCAGTTCTGCTAACACTTAAAAATACCTTTCTGGCTCTGACATGTTTAACAGTGTATGTGGTTGATCCATATTTGAAAATGAATTGTGAGTGAACCTGACATTGAAGAACCTCAACATAGTGTTACTGTCGGACCAAAACCTTGTATCTCTAGTTTGGTTGTTTGTTTTTCGCATAATTTGAAAATTCACAATGTTTCAATTTTTTATAAAATTTCATGATGAATGGACCATCAGAATGGCCTAAATCACTTAGAACAAAATCTTATTGCACTTACATTGACAGGTAAGTTCTTCTTTTCCAACAGTGACAATAATGTAAAGGTTCTAGGTTTTTTTCCTCTCTCTCCATCCATATCCTCTCTCTCCCATAAGCTGCTGTACATCTGATATATTCCTGTCATTTACATAGACATAACTGGGTCGCATGAGGTGCCTTTTATGGCTTGGAGTATTTGATCAAACATGGAATATGCATGATGTGGTTTATGCATGAACCTAATAAAAAATACATATGGATTTCAAAACAGATCACCACATGTGAAGTAAGTGTTTGGTGGAACATACACTATTTCATCACAGTGCGTGCATCGCTGTAAGGCAATGACAAGTAAAAATAGGCTACGCTGTAAAGACGATAAGGAAGTTGAAAATGAGAACAGAGTGTTTCACTTCCAAAAAGCACAGATGCATAGCTGAGAAGTCCTGGGCTTAAGGTTACTGTGACTTTTTGGGTGCGTGCCTCGAGGACACGGCCTGAAAGAGAGCCAGGCAGCCATAATCCAGGAGAGCAGCTCGCAGTGCCATAAATCATATGTATGATTTAGAATTTCCCACTTAAGCGCAAGGGTCATTAGCTATCATCAGCCGAGCGGGGCATGCTTTATATGTATTGTTCCACATGGGCAGATTCATGCCAACTGTGCAACTTTCTTTGATCCAACAAAAATGCACGCAAGCTCTCGTCCAATTACCAGGGAGCGGATCTGGAAAGGAAACTCAGCGGGAACATGGAGCGCGTGTCCTCCACTCGCTGGATGCTGCTTTAGCAACTCACCCTGCAGTGGCAAGTTCAGAGAGAGCGAACAGCAATCGTGAGCGAAGTGAATGAGCACTCACATTTGGCTCATTTTATCAATCACAGGGTTGCAGGAGGAGATAAACTGTCTTTCGGAGTATGTTTATATGCCTCTAAAAGCTTTATGCCTTTCATAAGTCATGGTTATTGAGGTCTGAAACTGCTTTAACAGGAAGTTAATCCTGTCAGTGCACACATTTCTGCCTCCCCCGACCCCCCACCCCACTTTCTGACACAAAAAAAGGAAGCCATAGATGATATGACCCAGTTTCACAGCGAAATATAAAAGAAAGATTAGATTCCGAAGCAGTCTTTCATGATTTTCCTTGCTTGGGGTGCACGAGGTATTGCTAAGATCACTCAAAGGCACCTGAATGACATCCTACAAGACATTTTGTGTGATCATGTGCCACTAACATTATGTGTTTCGCTCTTTTTTTGGACAGATTTATGCTCGTGTGCATGAGAGATGCAAGAGAATATGAGAGAGAATATAAATAAAAGAAGAGAACCTCTTCCTTCACTCTGGTTCCTGAGAAGAAGCAGTGTACCTTTAGGCCTGCGGCTGCTTGCTCTCTCTTGCAGAGTGTCCCTTTCTTCCAGGATTCCACTTTACAGGTCACTGATCTATCTTGATGCTGACCCCGGCAAAGCACGGGGCCATCTCTGCCCTATCGCTTCCTCTCACGTCTGTGTCACGCCGACCAGCAGGAATTAAGGTCACAACACAAGGCCCGGCGGAAAAATTTAGGTCAGCAGCAAGGTTGGTTCTGGCTAAAAAATGCTTTTAGTGAAGACCAAATGTGACTTTTAAGAGAATCTGTCCTTTCTTCACTTGGAAAGGTTGCTTTTGTTAGTATCTCACTGTAACATGGAGCAAAAGAAAATGACCAATGCACAATGATAATGTACTAAATGTAGCAAAGTTGAAGGAAAGGTTAACAGAGTGAGAAGATTTAGTCAAAATATGTTGTATAAGATTTGCTATGAGAAAAAAGGCAACATTTTCACCCCATGTAAGTGATATGTTTTCTGTAGTTTAATAGTTTAATCAAGAGGAATCCTCAGAGCCTTCAAGCCATTCAGAGAAGGCTTAATGATTTCTGGGACCTAAAATACATAAGCATGCGATTTCCACAGTATCATCATGCTTGTTGCATTAAAACCAGAAATGGGTGATATGGCAAAAATATAACATTGTGATACTTCAAGAATTTTTCATGATGTCCAGTATGTCACAATATTTATATTTTCAGACATCTGATCAGTTGGAACACAGAAAAAGGAACCAGTAGTGCTACATTTTTTAAAAACACTTTCAAAAACTATGAATACAATGATTTTTTACAATTTAAGCTCTGCAACATACTGCAGTAATACTCATATTTCACTGTTGCATTTTGGATGGACAAAACTTTTAACAAAATGGTTAAATTCTAGAAAACTCCCAATGGAAAATTACCCAATCAGGATTTTTTTCCACCATTGCATCTAGGCAGGTACAGCCAAGTTAGCTCTCCCATTGGTTAGGACTTTAGGAGCTGGACTGAAGGCATAATGCATCTGATTAACTTTCTGATTTACAATGAGTGGGATCAATTTTGTGAGGAAAAAGGTTGAGGCCTTCTGGAAGTCCTAGACAAGGTCACTGATTGTGATAATGAGCAATAGTCTAACCATGTTCCAGTTAGTTGTTAGGCAAGGCATATTTACTGAGTCACAGGGAAACTGCAACATGTAAATATAATAATATGTAGAATAATATATAGAAACAATGGCTATATATTTCTCTGTTGGTACGTCATCCACTGAGGAGATATCTTGTATAAGATGACGAGTCCTCATCAGCATCTAGTGTTGCACCTGTTAGCTGTAGTTTCTGCTCACGCCTGAGGAGGCAGCCTCCGTTACTCATTTAACATAAAAAGGTCAAAAAGGCTTTTTTTGAATAATCCCTTACAGAAAAGTCACATACAGTTCACATGTGAAGTGTGCAAAAAACATGTTTACAAGTATTTTTTTTTCATGTGATCACATTTTTTCACATGCAATTGCAATTTTTTTAACATGTGAAGTGTACAAAAAACGTGTTAATTCACATGAAAATCGTGACTTTTCTGTATTCCAGTATTCATCTGCTTGCTATTTTGTGCTACTGATTTTTTTAGCCTTGTAACACCAGTGCTATCACCTAAAAAAGCCTCCAGTTCCAGCACTACGTCATTTCAGCTGAAGTAGCTTTTATTTATTTTTTTTCTTTTTCCTTCCCTTATGGTTAATCGGATACCCGTTCATGAACTCTTACGGATTCTCGCAATGCGCATCCCTACTGGAAACAAAAGACAAAAAAAAGTTCCTTCTGATTGTGCATTTTTGAACTTTATTCAAAATCTGTGCAAGTAAAACACCAAAATGAATACATTTCAAAAAAATGATATCACAATAATATTCAATATGCTGCAGTTATCCTGCTCCAAAACAATACTTTTTTTGAAAACCAAGTTAAATCTTTGAAGCGTTGTAGTAATCCATAGTTGCGCTGTACTGTACATGATGTGATTGGTTTACCTGTTTGGTTTTCCTCTCGTAAAAAATAAAATAGAATAAAAACAAAATAAATATTTTCATATGCACATCTGTTTCAAAAGTTCAAATACAGTATTTTGCTCAGCAGTTTATTTCTCATAATAAACAGACAGAATACATTTTACATATCGGGCTTCATGACAAAATATTTATGCTTAAGACTTTGAATTCCCCCATGTCCAGTAATACATAGGAACCTTCTCATGCATCTGCATGCAACAGGCAGCAGTGTACTGTTGAATATCTGACATAACACAACATGTTGCAGAACAGATTATTGTCATTTTACCAAGAGACACATGCAAAAGGCAAAAGAAGGACAAAAAAAGAAAAGAAAACAAAAAAAAACATCCTCTAAAGTATGTACATATTCACACAGCCATTACTGTGAAGTCTCTTTAGGAAATTTCAAAACTAAACTGCTTCTCTTTTCATCCATATAAAATAGCTGTCTTTCATAAAGATAAACATTACGGTATGTACATAAATATAGTTTCTAAGAGTCTTTAAGATCGAGGGGACAAAAATAACATGTTAAATTCCCATATGTTAAATGTAAGACCATACATTGTCATATGTGGGGAATGGTAATTGTACCGCAGTACTCCCTTCATTAGCACAACACACTCCTTAAAATAACACATACTCCTCTGCGCATAACTAGAACACTCTCTACATCTCCGACAGGCTTGATTTGTCTCATATTAATGCAACAATTCACATTTCTTGCATAATGCAACACATTTATGGCACATGCTGATGCCAAGACATATTCATAACATCAGATTAAACTTAAACTTTAGGTTTTTATATCTTTTTATGAGCTCGTAGGGCTATTGTGAAAATCTCAACTCTTGGCTTGATGCAATGAAATGTTATTTCACAAATTAGTCAAAACAATAAACTAGAACAAAACAAAATAAATGAGTAATAAAAACACCAGTACCAAAGTATACAAGCATCACATATCATACAGATTCTACTTCATGTTTTCAAACGGATGAACTTTGTCCATCTATGATGGTGAACGGATTGGCTAGATTGAGCAAGACACCATTCTTCCTGAAAAGGGACTTATTATGTCTTTAAAAGACCAAGCATTGTTATTTTATGTGAATGCCTGTATGAAGAAAGCTGCAATGGGTCAAGGTCAGTCCCTCAATAACATCAAAAGGAAAGGTAATTATCTGCTTAGTGCATCAATCAACATGACCTGCACCCGCACTGTAACATAACGCATCAAAACTTCAACAATGTAAGAAAATAAGCTGTTCATTTTAATTTAATTCAAATACATTGGCAAGAACATGTTAACTGTGAACACATTAAATGTGACACTAGGTTAAAGGGCAGATTTATTAAAAGAGGAGCCAATTACCCACAGTCTATGGACACTTTGTGCTTGTGGGGTGGCCAATATAGCAGGTTATAGCAGGCAAAATCCATGCAAATGAACATGGGCACAACTTCAGAATTAACATGAGCAGTTCAATACAAAACTCTGCTTGGCTCACGTGCTTTTTGTATGGAGGCTCATTTCCACCAGGTAAGAGAAGAAAAAGGCTTTTATTATTCTTTGATTCAAACTGTGACTGATCAGGTCAAAATAGTAACTTATTTTCTTAAGATTTTGACTTAGTAAGTAAGCCAGAATAATGGCCAAGTAAATTAATTAAATAAATAAATACATAAATTAATAGTAATTACTCAGCAAAAAAAAATATTTGATTCAGATTATTTCAATACAGTAAGTAATTATTTTGAGAAAAGAAGACATTATTTTGATGTAATGAGTCACGATTATTTTGATTATTTTAAAATTACTTTCAAACACATTTGAGTGCATCTGGATTCAGCATGTCATACTGTAAAATTAATCTTTCCATTTAATCGTGTGCATCCTGGTCACCTGAGCAATGTATCAATGTGCAATGCATCATTTCTGCAACAGAAGCAACAGTGTACATGACGTAACAAGTAGCATCAGTACAGAAGGATTGCACAGACTGCACAGCTGAAAAGTTTCAGTGTGTACTTTTAACAATCATTTAGAAAACAAAATTGTCATTATTTCTAATTTAGGCAAAACCTGCTCTTAAGACACTTCGATAGCGTTTGTAAAAAATGCTTTTAATTGCCAAAACGGGGTTCACAAATGTGCAGAACAGTAAATCTGCCCCTAGAATTTTGAATTAGAATCTGTTCTTTTATCTGTCATTGTGTATTTGAGGATGAAAATCATCCAGAAAACAATGGCCAGAAATGAAGTAGTGGGGTTATGATCTTACAAAATTCAGTAAAGTAAATAGTAAAACAAGTAAAGGGCAAAGAGTGAAATCAGATGGCTCAGTTTTCATCTGTTGACAAACAAAAATGGCAATACAGACCAAGTAGGGAACATGAAGAAAGACAAGCACATTTTCATTCTAAAACAGTCTTCAGAACCGCTTCCTCACTAAGATTTCTTCAGTGACCCGTTAAGCCGTGGTGAGTCACAACTGTGAGTCCCATTGTGATTATGTGGGTTTTGTTGCAAGTTTAGTTTGAGGTCAAAGGCCTCAGAGTCCTCTTTCTGCACCCTGCACTGTCCTGACCTTGCTTCAACTTCCCGGCTTTCTCTAACCAGATGTGCATTGCTCCTCTGGAGCATATAGTACAAAATAGGGTTAGCCTTAGTCAACCGCGGAGAGTCCAGTTGGCAGTCTTGTGTTCTTTCATCACCATTGACCACACTAACTGATGCTTTCGAGTCCCTCTGTGCAGTGACATCAGGTTTTGACCTGGAAGAATCCTGCAGGGTTACATGGACATCTGACAAAGATTGTGGTCTGTTTGTACCTGCTCTTACAGCAGACACACCGCTGGGACTCAGACGCTGACAAAGGCTTTTGAGGCTCACCACCGTTACGTGGTTCTTTGATTGTACTCCCATTTAGGATGGGATGTGTCAATGGACTAAATGTACTCCTTGACTGAGATAGTTCTTTCAAGCAGTTGTCTGAAAGAAGAAGCTGCTTTAGAACATTAAATCCACGGTTTTCATGACTTGGAGATTCACACGGCGGAAACTTAGCTGGTGGACTGTCTGCTTCTGGAGGGCTGGATGGATTGCTGGACTTCTGAGCCTCTGGAATTCCAGAGATTGAGCTATCACTATTGGCCTTTTGGCTACCAGGGCTGCTACACACTCCTTGCTGCCTCACTTCAGCATGGTCCTCTGGTTCAACCGAATATTTCCTCTTCTTTGGGATGGTTGGTCCCTGATACTCTACTGGTTCCTCTTTAATGAAGCCTTTATTTGAATCTTCTAAAATGACTGGCTTAAAAGTTCTGGGCTGCTGTTGTAGGAGATGACAAAGAAGACCATCTCTGGGGACATCCACTGGAGACAGTGGTTCTTGCTTTATGCTTCCCTGATAAAGAGTGTGGGAGCTATGTCTAGGTGATTCTGCTAACATGTTCTGGCACTGCTTCACAACTTTGCCATCATTATACATTTCACCATCGTCCACTGGCTCGGTTTTCACTGAAATGTCTGGTGACGGTCTATTCAAATTATTGTGGCTTTTTGAGTGGTTTGGTTGCTTTTCCATGGAAACGCTCTTACCAGATTCTTTCTTTCGTTTATGACCAACTCTTTCTTTCTGGGATTTATTTCCCAAAAGAAGCTGTAGGACTGTGCGTCTCTCGAGGAGATTTTCAATTTCCGACCCATGTTGTGTTGCTTCTGCTGCAACCGGGGCCTTCACATGAGCTCCCTCCCATGTTGGGGTGCTGCTTTTTGGAGTTGGAGTAGTAAGTCTTTCTAGCAAAGTTGCAGAACTTGAAGTTTTAAGTTCTTGGGTCTGTCTTTTGGTGGGAGGTAAAGGAGCCTTTGGAGGGGGAGAAGTGGTTGTGTTTTGTTTTCCACATTGAGCTAAATCTTGCAACAATTTGCTAGCACTAAAGTTGGTTTCTTTGAAACTTACACCACTTGCAGGTGGTTTAGTCTTACACAGATCCAACGGGGCAGACTGTGTATGAGAAGGGCTACACAGGGTGTATGGGGATGCACGTGTGTTGCAGTCTCTGCCTTGGGAGAATGTTGGCAGTACTTTAGGACTTCTCGTATTCAGTCTACAAGTTGGGCTAAGTTCCCTTGTATCCTTAGACCTACCAGTATAAAAAAGACTTTGACTGCTTGTAGACGCACTACTGGCCTTAGAGATTGTTACTGGCTGTGTCTCAGGATTATCAAAGCCTTTGCTTGCCTTCTCATTGTTTTTGTGGTCGAGAAGCAACTCCAAAAGGGTAACCTTGTGGTGAGGTTTCATCTCAGAACAAGCGTGTACCTCTCTGGGTTCTGTGGGGACTGTTGCAATTGGACTCTCTGATGTCCATTTGCTTTTCAGTGACTCTGTGACCTTGTCCAGAGCAGGTGAAGATGAGGAAGACAGCGGTGTTGGGATATTTACTTTGTTCTTTACAGAGAGGTCAATCGGAGAGCAACTGGAGTAAGTGCTCTCAGCATCACTGCTGTCTTTTTGTAGACTGCTGCCAGTGTTTGAGTGCTCACTATCTGAGAACAGAGGAGAGCCACGACTGGAGAACACGCTGACGTCTTCCATGAGGTGACCCTGGCAATTGAGTCGTTGTGGTGTGTTGTGGCTGTTGAGAAGTTGAAGGAGCAGACTGCTGCAGTTCTGTGATGGCCTGCCATGCCTCTCGAAAGGTCGGCGCTCTCTGAAGGCATGTGTCCTCCGCACTGAACCTGCTGACCTACTTTGCCCTGTACTTAGGTTTGGATTTTGTCTGCTGGAGCTTGTTGACATTTGAGCAGGTATCCCATTTTTGGTGTGTAAGGAGCTTAGTCCGTCCTGGTTTGTCTGAGGCTGCCCGGAAGTTGTAGGCTGTTTCTTTGCTTGGGTTTGGTGCGTGGCCATGGCCGCAAGCCTTTCGCTGGCTGATCGCCCAGCTAGTTGAGCTTTAAGAGCCTGTTCTCTGGAATACTGCTGCAGGTGAGCCTCACTAGAGAGCAGTAGGGCCAGTTGACTGCAGGCCACGCTGGGTTTGGGTGAAGGGGCAGGGCTCGACCTGATATTTACCAGATTAGCAACAGCTTTCAGACGCTCAGTGCAAGGGAGGGATTCTGTTGAGGGAGAGCGAGCACTGTGCTGCAGTGCCATTGGAGACTCTGATGACCTCTCCTGACTGGGCCGTCGGTGGTGGTATGGCTCACTGCTGCTGGGATTCTGCACTTTGCTGTTTTCCGTCATCCCTTTGAAATGACTTGGGCCAGATCCATGGCCATGCCCGGGTGCCTTGTCTTCTTGGTCAGGCTTAGTGACTGGACTAGAGGCATCTTGCGGCATCAAGCTTTGGACAATCTGCTGTGACAGGGCCACACTTTGGAGCCTTGTGCTGAACGACTGGAGCAGGCTCGCTAGGAGCGTGCTTTCTCCTTTACACTGCGATGAGCCATTCAGGCCACTGTGATGTTCTTCCATCCGCCCATTAACCTCAACAGAGGGTGTCATCCTCCTTTTGCTCTCATGTTCAGTCCAGGCTTCTGAGCGGAGCAGGCGAGCTTTTTTGAGATGTTGTGTAGTCCCTCCTTGGGGAGTTGTTTTATCCTGCTCCTGTTGAGTGCTACGATGGGGAAATGTAAGCCCTGTCGTCTCCTTGTTTCTCTGCTCCTCATTGCTGTTGCCAGCCTCACCTCTTTGTGTTGCCGTGGCACCTTGTGCTCCTGCTACCCGATGCATGAGTAAGCCTTCCAGATACGTTAGAACAGCAGAATCCTGGTGTGTCTCAGGGCCAGTCTCTTCCCCATGAGTCATGTTCAATATTATGGTCCTTTCTATGGCTGGCCACCACGACAGAGGAAAAAAAATGCAGTTACTTTCCACCAAGAGATCTAATGGCTTTTGGCTTCAAAACAAAAGTTTCCAATCCACAGATATAAGAGAACAAATGCAACTTGATGAGGTGTTCCTCTGTCACTGCAGAATTTGAGCACACATAATATGTTGGCTTAACTTATTGTCGCCACTGCTGAGATATGAATAGGGTCATGTTGTGATCCATTTGAGCTTCCATATGCAGGACCGTGCAGCATGTCAACTTCAAGGACTTGGGTACTAACTGAGGTAAATGCCTATACCCTGATTTCCTGACGTCAGGCACAGCTGGAGGTGGCCCTGTATAAACAAAAGAGAAAAAACACAGAGTTAAAACAATGAAACTGATGCACACATCCTATTCAATATAAACTGGGGATGCACTGATTTGAGTTGTGGCCCAATGCTGATTTTATGATATTTTTCAAATCTGTAGCTGCTGATATTAATGCTGATACATAAACATTTCTAAAATGTAGAAACTGGAACTAGATTCACCTGGTTTAGAATTTTGATATCACTGTGCATTCCTAATGCATCTCTAAAACATCTTCATGATAAGACAGATCCTGTAACATACTGCTCATAATGCCTTACACATTAAAGATTCAATAAAATACCGAAACAAGTATATATAACTTTTGCCTTAATGGAAAATGAAAATGGATCTGACTAGAGAGCCAGATTCTCACACTTAGGTTTGCCAGCAGAGTAAAATAAAAGGTCTGTTGATGTACAAGGACAACTGAGAAAGGGCATAAAGCTTGGAGTCAACTTGAAGTACCTCAGAAAATATGGGCCTGCTCTTGCATGCACTCAACGGCGTTTGAAGAGCTGCGACTCGTTTTATTTCTCACGCAGAAGATCACGACCAAGGATTAGCCTTGCTCAGACACTAAGAGGCATTCAATCAGTGCTCCATTTCTCTCCTCTCGTCCCAGGTGCTGCAAGCATGCCCTATTGAGGTTAGCACAGAAACCTTGCTAGGGCAGCTGGGAGTCAATAATGAACTTGTGCTTTTTGCACTTCACTGGTCTCTTAGTAAAGCAGTAAGAATTAGCCTGCTGAATCTCATTAGGTTTGAATACACAGAACATTGTGGAAGCCTTGATTGATTTGACGGATATTAAGCAAAAACAACAAAGTGCGGTATTCCAGAGAGGATTGAATGTTTTGACAGAACTCTTGCCAAGACAGCCCACACAACTGCCAGGTCAGAACTCTGCTTGCATTTAGACATCAGCAGACTGGCTTGGGGCCTGTTTTTTTTTTTTTTAATCCCACATCACTCATGTACAACTGGGAATACATTATAATATAATCAGTCACAAAATGTTCTAAATCTTTTGACAAAGACCAAGTGTTTTCATATCAGCACTTAATATCACTTGCAATTCTTAATACAGTATGTAAATGACAATAAACCCTGACTACGTAGCCAACTCCATGATGTCAAGTGCAGCACATGGATCAAAGTGAGTTATGTTAAGGCAGAGAAAAAGTAGATAAAGCTTCTGATGTCATAGCTCTTTCTCTCTTTCCCCATCTCTCTCTCTGTCTGTTCACTGTTCTCTAGAGCTGCGTCAGTGCCCACAGATGGTACACCTGCCAAGTGAAGTCATAGTACTGATGACTTTCTAACCACACTGTCTCAAAATGTACCTCCAACACCTACACATATACCATCTTAGACTCATGCATGCTGGACCAAGTGTTTGAAGAATGGTTTGGTGAAAAAGCAGATTTACGTCACTTTCATAAAATTTTCCAATGTATTCAATCAGCCAGGACTTCTTTAGTTTAGCACTGGAGTTTGAAGCTAGAGGTACCAACAAACACTAGAATTCAACAGTCACCTACATCTTTTCCATAGATACTAGTGCTGAAAGATTAATCATTTATGTATTGACATCTTAATTTGAAAGAGTGCAAGAGCTTCAACTTTAGTCATAGGTTAAACTATAAAAAACATTGCTTTAACAAGTTTTACGTGGGGGGAACTCAACCTAACAACACAGAGCTTGTGAACTGCCTTGTGAATGGCCTATTCACTAGCTCACTATATTCAGTGTTCAAACCTCAAACCAGAGAAAATGGATATGCTGTTGTTCACAAAAAAGGCCTGCGGTCACTTGCATAAACATCTTAAGTGAATTTTGGCCTTTAGTTTTTCCTTTAATCAAGTGAGATGTATAAAATCTCTTCAGGGAAATGTTTAAGTGGAAAGAGAAAAAGTTTCAGCCCTTCAGTTTTTGACATTTGAGAAATTTAAAACATGTTTTGGTGTCCAGACATCCAAACATGTTTGGTGTCCAGATGTGAAATCTGGACACCAAACATGTTTTGGCTGATCAACTTTATCTGGGGTGAGTAGAAAATTGTGTGAGTTGCCGAACCATTCTCTTAAATTGCACTCAAAAAGCCCCATGAAATTCCAACAGGTTCATCAGACCTCTTGACAAGTCCCTCTGTCCAAGCTGTGTTTCCACCAAATTTATTCCTTCTGAAAATCCACTACAGCTAGCTTTGTCTGACCTGTTATGATGAATAGTAGTTACTGGTCCATTTAGAAAATGGCAGAATCATTATCAAACAGGACACTAGGCATCCATTCGGTAGTGAGATGCGCACAAGGCTGACCCTGTCAGAGCTCAGTGGTCACTGCAATGTCAGAGCACGGCTTTTTGCTACTGCTAATTGGCACCTTTGCTGGCTTTGCTTTCAGGGGGCCATGAAGGGGAGGAAGATCCCACGACCTTGTCAAGCTGAAGTTCCATAAGGCAAAGGGTTATGAGTGACAAACTCCCTTAGAGTTTTAACTCATATAATAGAGAATCTGAATGAGAAACCTCTGATGTGGAATCCTGGACGCACATCTCTGTAAAGTTAATAGTGGCCAATTATTAAACAACAGACTTGTTCATATTCCTAATGAACCTCAAAGAGTCTTGTAAGGTGTGAGTGGACAGTATAGATCTATAAAAGATCAGGAGTTCAGCAAATACTTTGTAGTGAAATCCTTCCTAGGAATTCTGGTTTAATAAAGCATGTCTCTGGGAGATAAATCTCTTTTGTTCGGTCATACTGAATGGAGCTCCGGTCCTTTGTGACAAACCATCACTGCTGCTATGTCAGAAGGTGTCAGAAAGCTGATTTAATCGATTGCTGCAAACGTTATTGACAATTCATTCAATGCTTTTGTCAGTTGGGTTCTTTTGCTTGGTAAGCTAACACAACATAGGTGTGTGAAATGATACTCCATGATTCATAAACAAACATGTAAGCGCTTTGCCGGTACCTCTCCATGCCAGGACTATGAGCCGGCTCCCTTACAAAATGGTTTGTTTGGTCTGAGACTACATCTTTCATCACACCTATACCCTGGAAAAAAAGAATAGGAGAGCCAGTTTGATTTAGGAGTGAGCTCATGAATAAATGTGTGAACAGTGATTATGCTATCTTTGACAAAATCCTGGTTATATATGACCCTGTGCTCGCTGTTCTATTCACAGCTATGATGTCACGATATTATCACCATAAGAGATGGTTGAAGACACTCCTGAACGTGTCTCCTGGGGGAAAAATCCCTGCAAAATGAGGGGCCCGATATAAATGGAAAGGACTTGATATCCGGACTGGATCTTTCATTTCTCAACTGCAAGGTAGAAGATTAATTGAGCTCCCCAAAAAAATACCATATCATAAATTATGTCCATGGTCCAGAAATCGTAATCCATTTACGCTATTTAAAATGCATGATGAGGCGAAAAGAAGCAGAACCTGCTGCACACCCTGTTTGAAGTCAAGGTCATTCACTCAGCCAGGGCTGTTTGAGTTGATGCAACAGCTGGCGCCCATACAAAGCATTAGGTCCTAATAAAAAGTGACAAACCTGCCCTTGCTCTGCGCGTTCACATCCAGCGTCTGACAACTCTTTACTGCGCAGATGTGGCCTCAGCATTAAATGGGAGCTCAAGGTTGACACGGCCCAGCATCGACACAATAAGTGACGTGCTGTGATTATCCTCTGGTTGCACAGAGGCACGCAAGCCCGTGGAACTGCAACAACACATTCCTAAGATAGCGTCTGGTGACTCAGTCGATCGCGGCCACGGACCACTCGAACTAGGTCACTGTGACCTACTTCCAGAGGAGCATGACGGGCATCACGCACTGACATTTCCCAGCTGGAGCACGCCCCCTCATTAGAGTTCCACCAATCAGACTGGGGTTAAAAGCATGAGCTTGACCTAAATTGCTGCAACCCAAAGACAAGCTGCACTTTCACAGGGTCAAGCATGAGGGGGTAAACAAGCACCGTGTCCGTCCAAACCAGAAGGAATCCACACACAGGTCGACACAAATACACAGCATGTTGACTATCGCTAGACTTCTCCAAATATCGTTTCAGAGAGCTGTCACGAGTTACGGCCTTGACCTCAGACTTGCAGATTTATGGCAGTGGAGTACTGTTAACGGCAATCCTCAGAGAAGACAAGGCTAGTTCATCCAGTCACACTGAAGACCATCCATCAATGTCTGCCACATCTAACAAGATAGATATGACATGCTAAAATCATATTGAGTACACGGGTACTACTCAAGGCCAAATATGATTACAGGCAGAACCTGGGACGAGGGAAAAAGCAAAATGTTTGCAGCCCACTACTAATTGGCTGTGGAAAATGGCCCAATTTCCTGGGAGGAAAATTGCAGTAGCCATGGGAATCAGTCTGGGACCATTAGACGATGATTATTCCACAGAACTGTGGTAGCACATTAAGAGCCGTGCTATGTGAACTGCTGGGAGTGAGACTTATCAAAATGGGCCTGACCCTGCAAAGAAAGTGAACACTGTGACCTACATAACTGAGGTTAACAATTACAGATCTCACATAAGAGAAAGAAAGTAAAAAATAGATGAACTTTTGTGATCTTGTGCATATGTACACAAATATTTATACGCTTAACAATGACATTTTGGGCAACATCACTTTGCTTGTTTCACACAATAATGCATGCCCAATGCAAACTGCGAATGTGAGAAAAGTTTTACTAGCTAAAATGACTTAAAACAAAAATCTCATAATGGAAATCACTGGATATATTGACGATTAAAAATAATTCTGCTTGCACAGATACACTTCTTGGCACTGTATCTAAATTTACCCAAATAACAGTGCAAGAATCATTGTGAAATCAGTACAATAAAGCACCTTTGTCACCTGTGCCAATAATAAGAACTGTTCCTGCTGTAAACAGGCTGCTTATGACTGCTATGATTGGCTCAACATAATGCG